ATGGCGCATGTTCACCGCCGGAACGCCGTCCGGTACCAGAATGTCACGCGTGGACACATCAGAATTGGTCTCAAACTTGAGCAGTTTCGTGACTTCATCCTTCATAGCGGAGTAACTCGGACTTGGACTGGAAGGCTTGTGCGACGCTCGCATGGAGCACTCGAGAGAGTCGCTCGTCGTTGACTGACTCTTCGATCGAGGCGTCGAACAATCCTCGTGTGCTCGCTTTTCGAACGCCTCCAAGACGTAGGCACGAAAAGTCGTCATTTGTCCGTCTTTTCTTCGCCTCGTCGCGTTCCAGTGGTTCTTCACGCTGTTCTCAGTACGGCCTGGAAGGCGCTTCGCGATGTACGACCACTTGTTCCCAAGCTCGAGATGCGCTTCGATGAACTTCTCCTCCTCGTCCAAAGTCCACGTGCCGCGTTTGATGTCCGGAGCGAGGTGATTGTTCCATCTCTCGCGGCATTGCTTTCCGACGCGACCCGAGAGCGCTCTCGCGATGTACGACCACCGCCGCACGCCGTACTTCTCGACGAGACCGACCAGCTTCTGGTCTTCTTCCGTCGACCACTGTCCCTTGAGCTTGGCCTTCGTCTCAGGCGACATTATCATCGGATAATCGTCTTCTTCCCATGTTGAAAGGTCGTCTTCTCGCGGAGAGAACGGCAACGCCACTTGCGTTCGCCCGTTCGTCCGCCGCTTCGACGCCCGTCCCCCCGAGCTCCCCCCATGCGCTCGCTTCATCGGCGCCGGCGTTGGCGTGAGTTCGATCCCAAACGCGCAATCCAACGCATCTTCGCTCGCGAACGCGCTCAGATCGATCTCTTCATCGCACCTACGAAGCGTCCAAGCGTCCTCCATGTCAGTCTTCACGTCTTCCCAGCACGAATCCTCGTTCGTTCATCACTGTGTCGGTTCGCCTGCTCGAGATCTCGACGAGTCGCGTCTTCGCTCGAGTCGCGCTCGTTCGCGCGCGCGGAGGACGGACGCACCACGCGTCGAAACCGACGCCGTCGTCGATGAGCCCATCGAAGTGAAACTCGAAATCGTCTCCAAACGTCATCGGTACCGGCCGCGCGGTCGTCGACGCGGGCATTCGGCGACGATCTCCACAGCTCTGTCGCGAGCGGCTGGATAAATGCGAAATGTGCACGCGTCGTCGTCAGTGGTCATTTCACTCGCGACCGCGGTGTGCGTCGGCGGACGCGATCGATAAAAATATTCGACGTCGATCGGTCGTCGAAGCGTCGTCGATCGCGCGCGAGACGATCGATCGAGTCGAATTCGCTCGATTTCAATCTTTTTTCTCCGGGGAGCGCGCGCTCGTTGGTCGGCGTCGCACCTCGTCTTGCGTCCTTCTCCGCGGAGTTTCGATCGTCGCGATCGATCGATTTATTTATTCTCGTCTCGATCGCGTCGTCGCGTCTTCACGGCGTCGCGCACTGTCTCGCCGACGTCCCCGTCGTTGATCACCGCACTCGTTTGCGCGCCTCCGACGGGACGCCGTCGTGTCGACAACGACGACGTTTTCTGGAACAGACGCGCGTTATGATCGGTTTGAAGATATTTTTACCGTTAAATGAAGTCGTATACGCGCTCTACCGTTTCGACGACGTCACGCGGGGGGGGATCGAGCGCGGGCGTAACGCCCGTCCGCTCGCCTCCCGTTGATTTTTGCGTTTTCCCCGTCGGTTCGCATCCGAGGACCTGAACGTGCATTAATATATGGGGATTACATGGGAGACAAAAAACACGCGTGCGATGAATTGACAGACGAAGCGACGGATAATTCGGAGGCGATTGTCTTGAGTATTTACTCATGACGGAGTCAGCTGGGCGAGACGGAAAATAGGTGTCGTGTTACCGAAGCCCTTCGTGTCAAAACAGGCAAGTAAGAACGGGTTGTCGTCGGATGTTTCATTCGTGAATTAATTCGACAACGTTCAAACTAGTATGAGACCGATGCGCGTCTCTGTACTCACTTGACGCCGAATTGCTCGGGATCCTTGAACTCGTCTTCGTCTTCGTCAAACTCATCTTCGTGCGCCGATCCAAACTCATCATCTTCGAGTCCCACAGTCTCATTCTCGGAGTCGGTTTCACCAACGTTGAGCTTGATGGTTTTTGCGTTCGCCTTTTCGACCTCCTCGATGGTCACCGGTGCAGGAACGGAAGCCGATGTCTGCGTCACGCCACGTTGACGCCCGTCGTGCGCGGAGCGCTCGTAGGATGCCAGTTTAGCTCGCAACGCGACCATCTCACCGCGTAGCTTGTCCACATCGACGGATTGACGACCAAGAGCGTCGATGAGCGACGTGTCATTTCCACCATGGCGCACGAGCTCTGTGGCAAGCGCCATGGTGTCAGACTCGGGTCGGAGGCTCGAAACTTTCGCATCCGTTGTTCCTGCGCTGATTTGCACGACTCGTGGCCATCCAACAATCGTTTGACCACCAACGGTGATCCAAACTACGTACGCTCCAGCTTTCGAGAACTTGGCTCGGAACACACCACGGGCTGAGGTTGTGCTATCGTCGTCGATTTCCGTGAAGTAAATATCTTCCGCGCCACTCGCGTGGACGTTGAGAGTCTGCCACGACTTCCAAGCAGACGGATTACCGAACCTGTCATGAGGTTTCATGTGAACAGTAAGGATCGAACCAGCTTGAGCGTTGTACACCCCTTGAGCTGCAAGCTGAGCGCCGTCGAGTTGCGCCTTACAAGAAGAAGCCACGGCCTGACTAGGCGCGACAAACACTTCACAAGGCGATCCAAGAACGGGCTCACGCTTGAACCCACTCCAGATGTACACAGTGTAACGACCGACAGCACGCGCTTCGAAACGAATCTCTGCCGATCCATCGCCTGCTTCCACGGTTTCAACATCTGCGGGACCCACACCAGAGACCTCAACGCGGAACGGTGTCAGTTCGGATGTAGCTGGTATCAAGTTTCCAAACCGGTCAGAGCGAACAACTCTTATCTTTCCACTTTGGCCCGCTTCAAGACTCTTTACCTCACCAGCATCGATTCGGCAGAACGCCGGATCCACGGCGCCCGGGGCGCATACTGCACTGAGCGTGGTGCTGGTATGATGCGCAGTGAGAGTGATACTGAAAGGACCTGCCTTGCTGATTGTATAGCTACATGCGTACGTCCCGTCGCCTTGATCCAATATTGACGCCTTGGCTGGGTTCGGCGAGAGTGCCGTCTGTACGACAGCGTTCAAAATTGCACCGCCTCTCGTCATGCGGTTACCGCGAGCATCGCGTGCTTCAATGGTGAACGAGGCTCGCTCCCCGGCCACAGCTCTTGTCGAGCCGACGCCGGTGATTTTACAACTTGAAGCGTGAACTTGTGCAGGTTTGACAACGGCTGATAGTGGAGAACCCACAATCGGTTCACCATTCAGAGCCGCAATGAGTGAGTGAGCGCCGACCTCAGGCCAAATGATATGCGCCGAGTAACGTGCCTTGTCCTTGCTCAATCGCAAAGAGACGATCGTGGCTAAGCCGGAAGGTGCGATTAATCGCAAGCAGATTGCCTCGTTACCATTCACGTGTAAACCACCACTTTCATAGTCAATAGCCTGGATGTAGAACTCGGACTCATCACCAGCAGTATATTCGTCGCGCTTGTCGGCGGGGACGAGCATGAGTTGCTTCGCCGTAAGACCACCTTGCTTGGCGATAAAAGAGGTGGCGGACTTTGTGTTCTCGACGCCGTTAACTGCCAAGTAAACCTTCCACTCCCCGGCTCGTGGCACGACGAATGCCATGCGGTAAGTTCCGTCACCAAAGTCCGAAATATCAGCATCGATCGAGCCAGCTGGACCTAAAAGACGAGCCGTGAGACGATCTCCTCCCTCGAGGCACACGTTCTGATACCTGTCCGCAGCGTTTATCAAAAGGTGAGTGACCTCACCGGCGATGACATTGCTCAGAGCATCTCCTCGAATGGTACAGAATCGAGGGTCTGTTTGTGCCGCAACAATTTGTAAGTTGCGCGGGAAGCCGTGAACAGGCTTGCCACTGACTAGAACTCGCAGCGAATACGTGCCCGCTCTTTGAAGAGCGCCAGTGAACATCATCTGTCCTGATTCTTTGGACGCAACACTGAACACAATGTTTGCGACACCCACGGCATCAACACGTACTCTTTCATGTTCGAACTCTGCTTCATTGTTGAATCTGTCTCGAGCAAAAACAACGATCGCAATTTGTCGTCCGGCCAAACCAAGCAGCATATTTGCACCACGCTCGCGAATACCACTAAGCTGTACGCTTGAGCGCGCGGGGTCAACTGTTGTGGGTGACAAAACCAAAGAAAGCGGCGCGCCTGTAATGCATTCGCGCTGAACCCCACCCCACCACTGTCTTGAAACATCAGCGGCGAACACGCGAAGTGTGTATTTACCAACTTCAGTTGCACGGAATTTAACGAGAGCGCCAGTGCCTGACGGATCGCTGATGACTTCGGCCTCCACGACGCTTGGACCCTCTCCATCTGCCAGTAGCGCAACATCAACGCCGGCATCACCATGCTTAGGTGGAACCACATCGTTGCCGTATTGATCCCGGCAGTGCACCTTTAAAGTAAATACTTCACCCGCTTTCCAGATGGCATCAACGACGGGTTGCTCGACCTCGCATCGCGACGGATCAAGCGCTGCCGGCTTGCACTTGATTTTCACCACACGCTCCTGACCGGCGGAAGTTATTACGGCATCATACTCACCCGCCTTGTCCACAGTGTAGGTAAACTCGTAAGTTCCATTCATCATGTCCTGAACTTGCACCGGCGCGCCAACGTCACGTTTGAACTCCAAATTTGAAGTCCCTTTCCCATCTCTGAACGTCAAGTGATGAATGGCGCACTGCATTGATGCGCCGCCCTTGTGAATGCGCACGCCACCCGGATTTGTGCTTTCAAAGATGAACTTTGTTTCCTGGCCGGCAACGCACTCTTCGCATCCTGGGCCAGAGACTAGCGAAGACGTCAAATGGACGACGGTCCGCGATGCAGTCTTCGTCTTGAGCTCCTTACTCGATACCTTCTGCACGGCCTCATCAGCGAGACTTGGTGGCAACGCAGCGAGAACGAGCTCCGCGTGATCCAACTTGACTCGATCTAGGTATGTTCCAGCTTTATCGCTCGGCAAGCCTCCGCTAGAGACCATCGCTGCTGCTACCAAAGGTGGGACTCCAGACATAACTCTCACTGCGTGATTGTCGTCCAGAGCAGCGACGACGCTTCCAGCTTTGAAGGGGTCCATGAGAACGATGATGTCATTCGCAATCGATATCGTAGCGGGGTCCATGGTTGCGTACAGCGTCGTCATAACGGCGGCAACGGATTCCGTCGGCATGTTCGAGGCTGTATCAGCGGCTGGTTGCGGTCGCATTTTCATAATCATAGCCGCACGTTTCGCTGGTGGCATGGATTCTAAAAGTAGAGCTGCGGCTTTCGGATCTGGCATGGCGCTCACCAGGGATCCAGCCGTCGCTGGCATCAATGCACCGACGGCTGACGCACTAACCTCTGGATCGAGCGCCGTGAGAATTTTAGCTCCGTTTGCGGTGTCGATTTCAAATGTCTCCAACAAAACGTCTGCAAGCGGACCTCGTACCTTGACACCAGAGCGAGGAACGTCGACGCTTGGCGGCCAAACACCGAGACGTGCAAGAGACTCAAACGCCATCGCGGCAACGGCAGGGCTAGTGCCGGCAGAAATCGCGGCGCTTGTCATGGCTGCAGAAGCTTTCGGTCCAGAGTACTGCAGAAGTTTCCCGGCATGCTTGGCACTGAACAAACCAAACATCTCAGCACGGATTTCGGGGGAGAGTTCAGCAGCGATTCTCGCGCTGCTCCTTGGATCGCGTTCAATTACTCCTGCAAGATGCACCGTTGTCTTCGAAACGTTTTGCTCACTCAACATTTGCAGAGATCGCGAAGCAGTCTGCATACCCTCTTCGCTCTCACACAACTGCGTCAAGATTGGCGCCACTGTGGATGGGGGTAGCGCGAGCAAGTATGTGGAAGTCAAATCATCTGGAAGCTGTAGAAGCATGCTCGCGGCGTTCTTTGATGGAATGACCGAAATAGCATCACAGGCTGCGTTTGCCTCCATGGAGCGTAAAGCATCTGCGGCGTCTTCTACAGGTAACATGCTCAGCAAGGATCCAGCGGCGCTCACGGGAAGAGCCTCTATCACCATCATTCGTGCGCTAGGACTCACACCTGAAACGACTCGAAGAGCATCTTCGGCTTCCATACTTGCGATTGAGCTCGCCATGACATCACGGTCCATTACGGCGATAATACTTGAGACACGCTCGGAGTCCATTGCCGCCATAACAGCGCCTGCAGCACCTGGGCGCATATCAGCAAGAGCTTGCGCGGATACTTTCGGAGCCATTCCTGAAAGTGAACGCGCGGCACGATCCGAGGCAGTTTTGCTTGGCTTGAGTCCAGTGCCACCCCACTTGTGCTTTGGTACCTTAACTTTGACTACGGGAGCGGGAACTTCGATTTCACCCTTGAGAATGCTTGACTCGGCATTTTTGGCAAGTGCATCACCACCCGGTTGTCGCATCACGGCTGCCTTAATAGCGGCACCTCCATCTGTGGCAGTCAGCTGAGTCATCGCAATCACATTTTCAACCGCTCTCGGATGCGTCTTAGCTGCACGCGACATCGCCCCAGCGACAAGCTCGCATCCAAGGGCATCTTGCTGCATGTTGGTGACCATCTTTGCGCATATCTCAGGTGGTACCGTGGTGAACACGGTGCTAATGGTGTCGCTGTTTACTTGCACAGCTTTCTTCACGCTGGGTGAAGCATCGGGATTGTACGCAGCAGTAATCAGCGCACAAAGAGACAATGTGTCGAACTCCATAAAAAGTTCCTTCTGCAAATCCGGCATGATAAACTGCAACACTTGCACAGCGTGCGACGGCTTCATTTTCGCCATGATCGCAGCGGCGACAGAGGTTTCAATCAGTTTACTCACACACAACGATGCGGTACGAGGGTCCATGTTATTCATTAACTGTGCCGCGGCTTCGGGTGGAAGCGCTTCAATGATAGAAGCCCGCGCAGCTGGTGGGGCGTCCACAATCATACTGATCACGCTCGCCTCCTTCATTGACGTCACCGCCGCGCGGAGTTCGCTTGGAGACATCATGGCTGCAGCACACGCGGCTTTCGAAGGATTCAAGCGCTGCAGAACAGCTGCAGCTACCTCTGGTCGCATGTCTGACAGAGCATCGCCCGCGTCCTCGAGTTCCAACTTGCGGATCACAGCAACCGTGGAATCGACCTGCTGTGGTGGTGGAGGGTTGAGGGGAGTTCCGAAGGTGAAGACGTCCTCTTCTTCCTCGTCACCTGGATCGTTTTCTGACGTTTCCGGCAGCGCAGCGCGTGAGACGGCCGCAGTGGTTTTATCATTCGTGTAAACGAATCCAAAAGAGTTGTCTGCCGGAATCATGGCCATATCGTTCGTCGTGTCCTCTCCTTCGATTTCTTCAAACTCTTCGTCTGGATCGCGCACGCGAATCATGAAAGGGCATCCAGGCACTGGTTCTCCTGCCAAGGTGACAGTGACGTGGTGATCACCTACTTCAACCCACAGAAGAGGACACGTAAAATGGCGAGTATCAGGTTCAAACTTTAGTGGCAAGTTGAAGCTGATTTCACTGGGTAAACGTACACTAATGACGACAGATTCTTTGCCGCTCATGACACGGCTGGGATTTGCGGGCTGCACACACAGTGTTGATTTATCAGCAAGAACAAGCCGTTGACCACCAATACCGCTGATGACACAGTCCGCGGCACTCAATGCCCCGAGACTGGGCATCAAGCTGTACCGGCTTTGCTTTTCACGCAAACCATTCGCAGAGATCCACAAGTTGTGTTGGATCGGGGCATCTAGTTCAAACGAAATCGTGTACGTTCCGTCGCTGTTATCAATGACGCTCGTAACCACGGTCCCTTCATCGTAGTTGACGAGAATCGCCTCGATAAAATCGCCACCGAGCGATCGAGGGTTGCCATACTCGTCCATCGCTTGTAGAAGAAGAGAAATCGGGGTTGCTGTAGAGCACTGTCCGAGGGCATCACCACTGATTGTGCACTTATCAGGGTTGCACGGACCCGCAACAACCTGTAACAACCTTGGCCAGCCACTGCATGCGCAATCGCTGACGAACGCAGCAACTGAGTAGGCGCCTGCCGCCATTATCGTCGCTTTGAAAGATCCCACGACGTCAGTGGGGGTAAACGGAACTTCCACCGGCCCACGGGCGTGTACCGCGATTCGTTCTCCCCCCAACCACGATGTTGGATTACCATGGAAATCGCGAGCAAGAACATGCATGGCGATTGCATCACCAGCCATGATGGTCGAAGGCAGCGTGATATCAGCGTCAATATCGGCGAGTGTGTTCTCTCTTCCGTCGTTGATGAGCGTCATACGAGCAACACATGATGATGGTGACGTCTCTTGGCTCGTGACGAGCGCGGAGAAAGATGTGAGCTCAACCGATGGAACATCTAGCGGCGTCATAGTCTCTTCATCAATAGCCAGCGCGATAATCGAGATATCGTAAGAACCCGATGACTGCGCGACGAGACGGAGTTCGCACGAACCATCGCCAAGCTCCAAAGCTTCGCAGTCAGCCCAGCCAGGACCGACGACTTCGGCAGCAAATCTATTTAGACCACCAATCGTGTATTTCGTCGTTGGGTTACCATACTTATCGCGGCGCTGGATGCGGATGAGGCCGGCCTCACCAGCGTGCCACAACAGCATCATCTTCGCAGCATCGACTCGACACTCATTGATCTCACATTCTGCCGCCTCGCATTTAATATTGACTACGCGCTTCGTCTGGATACTGCCATCATTCAGCGATAGAATCAACTCGACATCTCCCGCGACGGTCGTGGAGTAGGAGCATTCAAACGAACCATCGCCGTTGTCAATGACAGAGCCTAAGATCGGCTCTGCACCCGGAACTCGACAGCTCACTGATATATCTGCTCCGCCCTTGTTAATTTGGTTTCCACTGTAGTCGCGAGCGTACAGCATGAAACGCGCTTCTTCCCCAGCGACGCAACGCGTCGCACCTTCACCGATCAACGCTGATGCAATTAATGCGACTCGTTTACCCTCTGCAACGACGCGGATAGGCGTTCCCGGCACGGGGATGCCATCTAACATGATCGTGAGTGAATGGGATCCAGGATGGAGCCAGCGAATCTTGGCTGCGTAGCTTTTGTTGTCCTTAGCGAGCGTCACCGGCACGGCCTCTTGCGAGCCAGATGGATGCGTCAGGCGCACGCTCACTGCCTCTAAACCAGTCATGACGCGATTGTTTCTTTCCCATCCCAATCCATGTAACAGAAGATTGTTACCCTGCCCGCATTCGACAGTGCCGTTGCTTGGAATCGGAGGATCGAAAGTTACGACGGCTTCTTCGGCTGTGAGTGTACCGAATGCAACATTGAACGAAATACCACCCTCAACATGCAATACGCTGTTGATGCGAGTGTTGAGCACCCATTTTCCAGCAGCGGTGACTTGGAACTCAAGAGCATACGTGCCATCTTGGTGATCCGTGACACTAACTTGACGTGCGAACGCCTTGTTTGGACCTTGGAGCGCCAGCTGAATCGTATCCCCGCCGCTCAAACGAAGATTCGCATACATATCAACTGTGCGGAGCGTCAATCGTACTATGTTTCCAGTCTTCACATCCTTCAAACCGTCCATGCTGAGGATTGATCGAGGGGCGAACGTAAAACCTGCAATGATTTGAATCGGTCTCCAGCAAACTGGAAGCGCGTCGCAGAGCACTCTAAGCTCGAACGTTCCCGCACGTATCATTTTCGCAACAAACTCATTCTGCAGACTTGTTGTACCGTGCGGAACGAAGCTCAAAAACTCTGGACCGAGCGCCTCCACGGTGATTGTTTGCCCTTCTTCCCAATGAGTTGCGTTGCCGTACCTGTCTTTTGCGATCACACGCACTATGACTTCGTCACCGGCAGGAGCCACCCAAGCATTATCGGCGCGAGTGCCCCCGATGACCTCCAGATCGCAACAGTTAGGCATCGCGACCGTGGGTGCAAGATTCATCTCAAACAATCCGTTGGGCAACGGTACCATCTCGATACCGTTTACTGCCATCATCTTCGGTAACGCTACGTTTTGTGACGCCTCGTTATGCTGGCCCTCATCCACTACAATCGCTGCAACAGGTGCGTCACTCTTTGCACTGGATATGATAGGGCCGGCGAGAACATCATCTCGTTTGCCTGATGTAACTTTGGATTCAGACTTCTTACTTTCCAATTTGGACTCCTCGAGCATGAGTTGAGAGTTTTCCATGAGTGCCGCGGACTCTTCATTCGCGTAAGGAATCATAGGCGTGTCGGCGACATAGATACCAATCTGGTAAAGCCCAGCTGTAGTACCATAGAACTTCATCTCCGCCGTGCCGTTGCCGAGCTCTAGAGACTGACACGTGACGTCACCCGGGCCGATTGCCTTGCCATAGAATGGTGCAAGTCCCTCTCGTCGACTAATTCTATTCCCAAACCGATCCATACGAGTCACTGTGAGCACAAGTTGCTCTCCTGCGGTCCAAGCACCGTTCGTTACACCGTCGACGCGACACTTTGCATAATCGACACGTCCGGGCTTGCAAAGTGCTCTATACGTTGCCGCTTCCGTGCCCAAGAAGAGAGAAAGCTCGAAGGGCCCCGCGCGCTCTACAATATAACTCGCTTCGTAGGTGCCATCACCGCAGTCCTGCACTTTACCACGCAAGGTTTCACCCCCTGAGCGGACGGCAATGCCCATTTGGGCGCCACCATTGAACAAGCGGTTACCACGCTCATCTCTGGATTCGATCAAAATCGTGGCACGTTCACCAGCAATGGCACCTTGGAGACCCGGACCAGAGAGCCTGCACATTGGCAGGCTGACATCTTGCGCCTCGACTTCTACGACAAAGGGCGAGCCAACCACAGGTTCGCCACCGATGGCGGCGACAATTTCGTGTCGGCCAACTTCCCACCATCGAAGAGACGCTTTGTATCGCGACCCTCTCTCGGCGAAAACCACGGGCAGTGTATGCGTGGAGCCGCTTGGCGTGATTAAGTGCATCGCGATAGCCTCTTGACCGCTCATACCGCGACCGTTTGCGTCATACTCTAGGGCCTGAACATATATGTCACGCTGAGAGCCACACGTCTCGGTCCGCTTCATTCCCGGCCCGCTTTTCAAGACGCATGCAGCTGCATGTAACGGACCGTACATCACGATGACTTCTGTCGTACTCTCCTTTGCGATGCGTCCATTCACTACGGCTTGGATTGTCCACCGACCAGACTGAGGGATGATAAACGAGAACGAATACGTCCCATCTTCGTTATCTTTGACATCCAACGCGTTGATCTTGAGTCCGTTCGGACCGGACATGGACAGATTCACGCGATCACCGCCAACATGACAATGATTCCCATACTTGTCTTCTGTTTGTACCAGAAGCGACGTGATCTTGCTTGCAACAATCCCGTTGAGGGCGTCGCCGCGCAGAATAGCACGACTGGTTTCACAAGTTCCAGGGAAGACGTGCAAAATGAGAGGGGAAGTCGCTATCGGAATCCCGTCGACAGTCACCGCTACGGTGTAGCTCCCTGATCGAGGAAAGATCGCTTTAAGCGCGATTCGGCCGGTGCGAACGTCGGAGATCTCGAAAGGTCTGTCTGCGGGCATGTGAGCCGGCCCGTACGCAGAGACAGAAACGTTCTCACCTGCAAACGTCGAAGAGTTGCCGTAACGATCGCGAGCTTCCACGATACAGGTAACTTCTTCTCCGGCCATGGCGGCGCACGCGCCGTGAGCAGCAGCTTTTGCACCAGGACCCTTCGTCAAGCTGGTGACTGACTGCAACATAGCCGTACAGCCCGCTTGGGAAAGAACATCGGTGCCCATCCTTGCGTCGAACGGACAACCGGACAAGTTTTCCTTCGTATCAAGACATACTACTGTGACCTTATAGATACCAGTTACGGTAGTGTTCAAGACGAACTCGATTTTTCCATTGTCCAGCATGTTGCGTTCAACGATGACTCCGCCGGGTCCGGACGCGCGACATTCGAATTCAAGGATACTCTTGGTAGAGTGAGCGAAATTACCGAAGCGATCTCGGAGTACTAACAACAACTTTCCGGGACTTCCGGCTGTCCAACTTTGCAACCCCTGTTTGTCAACCGTGCACTTTCCCACTACGACATCTGACGCCTCGACGTTGACCTTCCAAGAGCGAGACTGTCCGGAACTCTCGACAATGACTGCCACTTCGCCAGCCATCGTGCTCGAAAACTGCACCAAATACTCGCCATTTCCTCTATCATATACGGCGCCGAGCTCCACACCAGGGCCGGGCGCGGAGGCAAGCTTCGTGGAAACGGACAATGCCGCACCTCCGAAAGGAATCTTATTTCCACCTCGCTCCCGGGACTCAAGAATGAACGACGACTGCTCCCCGACGATCGCCCCACGAATATTGCTTATTGTACAGGCGTCCAAATGGATCAAAGATTTATTCGCCACGCGGTCCTTCAAGTCTCTTCTGCGCGTATGTTCCATGATTTCATGTGCGCGCTCGTCGGGGGTGCACATCATGATGCCGACAGCCATATCAGTTGGCAAACTCTCCAAAAGGGCCGCTGCTTGAGTGTTTTCCATAGCGGATACGTAAGGTACTAGCGCTGCCGTAAATGGCGTATCACTCAGCTTCTTTCCAGTCTGTTCCTGAATGGCGACACTAGCTTCGATCACCTCCGAAACCTCGGCTGGACTCATGCCTTCAAGTATACGCGAGACATCCATTGGTTCCATTTTGTGCAGGACTTGCGCGGCCGATGTCGGTGAAAGGTGCTCAGCAAGGGCGCCCCCGACGGCCGTGGGCGGCTGGACGTTTCGTAGAATTTGTGGCGTAAGTGCCTCGAGGAAAGAGCCCATGAAAGGTTCGGTGCATCGTTGGCTAGAGCCCGGATTCACCAAAATGCTTATCGCAGACGCAGCTTCAGTGTGACTAAGGACCGAGGCAGATCGACCTGCTATCAACGGAGAAGAGCGAGCGATTTCAACGAGAGCCTTAGCTACGTAATCTGATCCCATTGGCGCGAGCAGATCCCGAATTTCTGTCATGGTCAGTTCAATCAATAACTTGCCCGATGTTCCAGGTGGGGTGAAAGCCAAAAGCTCACGCATAACGTCTGCGCGTTGCTCCGCCGTCAGCGCTCGGTAAAAGTGCAGCGCACCAGATGGGGCGGCAATTATCTCGCCGTTCTCATCTACGATGGACCCGTCGGACGTGATCAAACCATCATCTCTAAGCCTGAGAACTTGACCGTCTGTGTCAATAATGACCCCATCGTCGCTGAGAGTTGCTTTCGTGCCATCGGAGTGAACTATGTGTGCGCCATCCTGGCTCACTCGCGACTTGGAACCATCTCCCCACTCAATCTCCCCATCTTCCTTCATCTGTGCCACCGGACGCGAATTGGTTTGAGAAGTCACTGACCGGGCGCTGTCCTCTACAAGAGCGAAGATGCATCCACCCAAATGCTCCGGCGTTGCTTGTCTAAAAATTTCGCCAAGATCCAGCTTGTCTTTCAATGAAATGGGCCTAGCGATTCTTCGACCCATCTCCTCAGCGTCCGCTTTCATTTTATGACGCTCTTGAGCGGAGGCTGACTTGTCAACCCTGTATGCACGGAAAAGATGTCTCGTCATCTGGAAAAGAGAGTCGCCGCCCAGCATGCTCATAACGCCTGCTTGTCTATCTTCAGGCATTTTCGCGACAATCGCGGCCGTACTTTCCATTGATAGCCCGGCTAACATTTTAGCGGTGTCCTCCTTGTCAATCTTTGCCGCGATATCTGCGACATAGCGTGCGGGCATCTTTTCGAAGATCGCCGTGAGTCCTTTCTCGGAATGAGGTGCCGCGATAAGCGCGCGCACCGCATCAACCATATCGTCTTCCTTCATGGCCGTTAGAACGGTAGAAAGCATTTCAGCCTTCTCTGCGATCGCCGTGCTCGGCATGCTAGCCAATATTTTTTTGGTGTCACTCGTCTGCATATGTCCTAACACTTCCATAGCGCGCTCATCAGACATAGCATTCAGTGTTTCAACTGATCGGTCCGGAGGCATGCAGCTCAGAATTTCAGCCACGTTCCCAACCATTACGTTTGCCGTCATGCGAACCACGGCCTCCGGGGAACTTTCTTCAAGGATGCGGGCCGCTTTATCCGGAGCTACAGACTGAAGAGCTTGAGATGCGCCATCACCACTGAGCTTTGGAAGAAGTTCAGCGACCTCGCCCTCCGACATGTTCTCAATTTCAGCGATTTGTGGAAGCGCCGTCATAGCTTCGACGGTGAATGGAGAACCAACGACAGCTTCTTGATCGAGCGAAACAGAGACAGTGTGTTGACCAGGCTGTGTCCACGTGTAAGATCCCGTATATTTGCCTTTTTCAAACTTGAGATCAACGGAGCTAATGCCGCCCGATGGCGTGAGGATCCGCACTCCAACGGCCTCTTGTCCACTCATCAGGCGCGCGTTTGCCTCAAAATCTGCAGGTTCGATCACGATCTTACTTGGCTTGAAGCATAAGACCCCTTCGACGCCGTCTGATCCCATACCAGAGAACACACACTCACTTGCTTTTACACCAGCGAAAAAAGAAGTGACTTCGTTCACCTGGGTTCGACCGCCACGGCCATTAATGACTAGATTAATCTCCCATGTCCCAGGACGCTCAAGTTTGAATTTGGCTCCGTACGTGCCGTCCGCATGATCGTCAACTTTCGCTGCTACAACGTATTTTCCATCGGGTGAGCTCAAAGTCACATCGACAACATCCCCACCCGTTGATCGCAAGTTGCCAAATCTATCTGAAGCGTGTATGGTGAGCGTAGTGATGCGGTTGCATCTCACACCTTGCAACGCCTCTCCGAACAACACGCACTTTTGCGGCTCTGTGGCCGCTGATACGACGGTTATAATTCTTGGGTAACCGTCTAATACGTTGTCGCCTACCTTTGCAGACAGCAAATAAGATCCTGCCATTCGGAATGAAGCGAAGAGCGCTACCTCCTGTCGATCTCCTTGGCGCTCTTCAAATGGAATCGTCATGCCACCTCCAGTAGCTATCGCTGTAACAGTAGCCGACTTCGAGAAGATGGTAGCGTTACCATATATGTCTCTAGGCGCCACTGCTAATGACACTTCTTCACCGGCGACGGCAACGAGAACATCGCTATCGCTAGAAGCAAGCTGAGCCCCAAACACAGTAGTGACGCTTGTTTCGCTTGATGCCGGACCCGGGTAAGCGACGACTTCGAACGGGGATCCGGGAATTGGTTCCTGGTCGTGCGATGTGACCTGAACGTAGTATCTGCCTGATACAGATGTACTCACGTCAACGTCGCTCACGCCGTCCGCTCGTTCGATGATTGAGCACGTCGCTGGCCCAGGGCCGTCGGCGACGACTTTGAACTTTATCTGTCCTTGGCGAGTGGGAACTCTGTTACCGTATGCATCGTGACGAACGATGCTGTATCGTCCTGAGGAACCAACTTCCAAGTCTAAGCCGGCGTCCCCAATGAGCTCACACCCCGCAACAACAGCCTTGCCAGGTTCGCAAATACCCTTGATAACAAGTTCTTCACCGAGGCATTCTAGTGTCATCTCGTAAAATCCAGCAACTCGGACAGTGTAGGATACTTCGTAGGTGCCATTCCCGAAATCGATTATTTCTCCCGTGTATGACTCGTTGGTTGAAGTTCGCACCCCGATCGAGAGCGCAGCACCACCGCTGAGGAGCCGATTACCTCGGCTATCGTGCGCCTCAACAATGAAAGCAGCGCGCAAGCCAGCGGTGCACTTGTGCACTCCTGGACCCTGCAGCTGGCACGCTGCGAGACATAGCTCTTCGGGTACGACGATCACTTTCATGGGTGAGCCTTTGAGAGGTTCGCCATCGAGTCTCACGTCGATCTGATGTTCGCCAACTTCGGGCCAGTTGATGCGAGCGACCGCAGCAGTGGTCCCCGCCTTGACGTCAAGCGCGACACCCATAGACACACCGGCAGGCGAGACAAGACGGACGTTGAATGCCTCAGCACCCGTCAAAATTCTACCATCTTCCGGGTGTTCAACGACGATTTGCATGTCCGTGTAGCCACCGCACCGAAAAGGAGGCTGGGGGAGCTGTAAGCGAACATCACTGGCAACAAGCGGTCCATAAGTGACGATCAACTTGTGCCTCTCATCACTCAAGTGCCCGTTCATTCGCGTACGAAGGGTCCATACTCCTTGCTGCATACATGTAAATTCGAGCAGATAGGAACCGTCGCCGTGATCCTTCGTGCTCACCAGTCCTCGCTGGCCACTCGGACCAATTAAAATGCCCTCGACGTTATCGCCACCAGTCGTGCGCGAGTTGCCAAAGTTGTCTTGGCCGCGAACAAAAATCTTGCACTTCTTTCCCACGATCAATCGAAGCATTTTTACGCCCGGAACGATTCCTTCCTCGACATCCACGCCAGAGAGAAGCTCATCATCCGTGGGCGGCGGCAAGTCTTCCTCGTCATCAATCACTTGCGCAGCGAGCCTAGAGTCAAAATATGAAAAGTCTTCATCCACGCCGCCGTCCGCGGCCGCGTTTTCTTTCATAGAAATTTGCTCATCAAAATATGCCTCGTCATCGTATTGACCGGGTACGGTTGTCGCGAGCACTTGCGTCACACTCGCCGGAAGAGCGACGCTCGTCGCAGCAGCTTCTCCTACATCCGCGAGATCCGCCACGCTCAGCGTGCTCGAAACCTCGCTCAGAACCACATTCTCCTCCAACGGCGTTGCTGTCACTGAAAACTGTAAGTGCGTCAACATCGTCACCGCTCCTTGTCTCAGAGGCACCGTGCGCGACACCTCCCTCCCCGGGCACAACGCAAACTCTCGGAGATCCACCGTCGCCTCGGCGTACTTCTTCTGCTCCCGCCCCGATTCGTCCACCACTTGTAAGACGAACATCGCGGGTTTGCTCTCATACATACCAGTCTTCGGATTGACGAACATCGAGCACGTCATCGCGAGCGGTTCGTCCCAAGTCGCCTCGCCTCGCGTCACCTTGACCGCGCTCGTGTGCTCGCGCTTGCTCCCTCGTCTCCACACCAACCGCAGTCGAGCTGTTCCCGGCAAGACGTTGTACGCGCTGTGCGCGCGCACGTCGAACTGATACTTATCGACCTTCCATCCTCGCAGGGACTTAAACCTCGAGCGTCCGACGTCGGCGCCGGCGCCGGACTCGACGGACATCTTTCGTGTTGGCGCGCGTGTCGCGCGATCGCTCGATCTCGACGCGCACTCTCGTCGCGCGTTCGATGCCGACGGACGAAGCGGGAAACCAACGCGCGCGCCTCGGGCGGTGTTGTGACGCTCCGAAACTCCGGCGCGCGCGGTGCGCTCGCGCGTGTGCGGGATCTTTCGACGGCGCTCGGGCAATCGTACACATTTTATAAGTTTAGTGTTCACCGAGCGCCGTCGAGGTCGTGATCGGTCGCGCGGCGTGCACGTATACAAGGGTGAGATGCGGTATCAAAATGAACATGTGCGATGAAACACCGAACGACCGTCGCGTCGTCGACCGCGACGGTGCGACGGACGACGGTGGCGACGGCGGCGATGGCGGTCGTCGACGTCATCGCGCGCGCGCGCGTCGCGCGCGCGTGGGACGCGTGCGCTGATGCGATCGACCGTGCGCGTCGCGTTCGGTACTCGGCGCGCTGGTGGTACGCGTACGCGTGTACAAGCTAATCGCTACGACGGTGCGCGATGGCCCTCTCGACGTCTACACCGTTTGAGAGCGATTCGTCGTTCGTGCCGACTCTGCGGTGTCGCCGAACGGTGCGGCGGATCGCGAAGAGAGCGACGATGGCGCCGACGAAGACGACGCCGAAACTAAACCAGAACGTCTTCTCGATGACGACGTCTACGACGGCGCCTCTCTCGGGATCTATGACGTCAACAGTGCGCGTGACCGCGAGAAATCGCTTAAAATTTGCCGGCGGGTTCACGACCACGCGCACGGGCTGATTCGATGGGGCGCTCGGCTTGGCGAAGAATCCTGCACGATCTGTCGTCACCGGTAAGCCGTGGCCGACGGAAACCGACGCCCCGGGAATGCCGTTACCCTCTCTATCGCGCACGTATCCACGAACGGAACCGAACGCCGCGCGTTCAATCATCTTTAAGCTCGCCGCTACGTGCTCGGCGACTATGTCATCCAATCGATCCTCGCTCGGCCACTTATCGTCGTCTACCTCGACAGTTATGTCGTACGTGCCCGTGTTGACGTAGTGCCAATCCTGCATCCCTCCCCACAACGGATACCAACCCGCACCGTTCGTAATCCCACCCCTAAACTCCACGCTATCATGCATCTTCGGATGCGCGTCGGCGTACAATTGCGACAAGTACCTGAACGTCTCGTCGTCCGGCGCAGAGCTGTACGCCGTGCGTCCGTCCGCGTTCCCGTCCCACGGATAATTCGCCACGAGCGCGCCCTCGTGATAGTTAATCGCCACGTTCAACCGCCACGTCTTACTCCAACGCATCACCAGCTCGGTCTCGACCTCGTGCGCCGCGTTATCGCTCTTCCCCGTCCTACTCGCGCTCGCGGGCATGTCAAAGCCGGCGTACGGAAAGTTCCTATTCAAATCAACCCCGCGCGCGTTCTCCCGCGTCTTCCTCTCGAATCCATCGGGATTTATCGTCGGCACCACAAAAATCGTCGCCTCCTCGAGCAAGCGCGCCGCGAGCGCCCTGTCGCGTCGCTCGTCCGCCTCTCCGTCCGCCGCCTCTCTCGCGCGCGCGCACGTCCATCGCGCGAGCGCCATCGCGATCTCCCGACCCACCGGTTCATCCCCGTGCATGTTCCCGAACACCCCAACGCGCACGCGCCCCGACCACCGCGCGTCGTTCGCGTCCTCGCCCACCGTCGACGACGTCGCGCCGATCTCCAGCGCGCGCACCGGTCGCCCATCGACGCTCGAGCCCATGACCACCGTCCTGGACACCCCCGCGCACGGCCCGCGGGTCAACGCCGCCATTTCGTCCGCCACCGCCGCGTTCGACGCGTACGGCATCGCCGCCCGTGAGCGCGACGCCCGCGCGCGGCGTCGTCCGTCGCCGCGCGGGCGCGACGGGCGCGACCGGTGATGCGCGACCGGTGGACGACACTCGCGACCGGTGATGCGCGACCGGTGGACGACGCCCGCGACCGGTGATGCGACCGGTGGACGACGCCCGCGACCGGTCGACCGCGTCGGGCGCGACGTCGGGGGCGACGGGCGATCGTCGCGGCCGTGTACACTGTTCGCCCACACGTGGACGTCGACGGGCGCGTCGAAAGGGGCGTCGAAAGGTGATTCGAAAGGTGACGTGTGAGACACATCGAAAGGTGACGTGTGAGACACATCGAAAGGTGACGTGGGAGACACATCGAAAGGTGACGTGGGAGACACATCGAAAGGTGACGTTTGACACACATCGAAAGGTGACGTTTGACACACATCGAAAGGTGACGTTTGACACACATCGAAAGGTGAACGAAAGGGCGCGCGCGGGGTCGTTTGTGGACGTCGAACGACGAGTCGTGACTCGTGACCCGTCGAGCGCATCACCGCGCGGTCCAGGGGAACGTCCCCCGCGCGTCGCGCGCGCGACCGCACTCGGGCGACGGGCGCGGACGATCGCGCGCGCGTCCACGGCGCGCGCGTGGACCACGCGTCGTGACCT